TGTGGAATTCTTTGCTTTTAACTTGGCCTGTTCTCGAATCTCTAGCTGCATCTCTGCCAATTTGATTTTCAGCTATTGTTTCATCAGCCTTTCTCTCTGCCCAGTCTCCTTCCAGATTTCAATGAGGCAAATATCAGACTTCAGCTCTCTAGACCCCGAGGCCTCACTCAATCTTATGCTTTGCCTACTCTCTCTCTCTCTGTGGTCAGTGGATTACACCTACTGCGATATCCTTAAGCTCACTAGTTATTTTTTTATAGCCCCACCCCATTCTAATATTGTGCCAATGGCTGAATATGTCTTTTTATGTCTGTTGGATTTTCAATTCTAAAATTCTTATATCTTTGCATCTCCTCTTTAGTGAGATTTTTCTATTTCCTTGCTATAGCCTTGTTTCTTTGCTTGTGTTAGAATGTTCAGTTACTTATTTTTATGACTGCTACTTTAGCATCTTTGTTGCATGATTCTAGCGTCATTCTCATCTTGTTGACACCTACAGATTTTCTTTTCCATTCAGCTAAGAGTGTCTAGTAAATGATTCTCAACGGAAACATACATATTTTAAGGAATTGCATTATGGACTCTGAGTCTTATTTAAAACTCTTTCAGATGGATTTGTCTGACATTGTTCCAACATGGGAGAAAAGCTGCCTCAGTACTGGCAGGAACAAGTTTAGGGTTCTTGTTCTGCTTCCAGTGACATTGATTGACTAGCTCTTCATTAAAGGTGGAAGGTGGTGGAAATTCTGGCTTCCCACTAGGGTAATGAGAGGTAGGGAGGAGGGTCTTGGTTTTGGTTTCCACTTATCTGCACTGACAGTGAGTGGAGATTCCTTTTTTTTATGGCCTAATGAGAAAAACTGTGCTGATGTATCTGGACTTCTGCAATGCCACCGCAGCAGAGGCGCATTAATAGGTGCATTTTTTTTTGCATTAAGGATGCAAAAAAATGGATGCAGATAGGTGGGGTACCTTTTTATAGCCTGGCAGGGGTAGAAGTCATAATTTTTCAATCTATGAATTTTTGTTGTTTTTGTTTTTCCCTAGCTGAAAATTTCTCACTTTTCCAAACTGACCTTCTCTGGTCCCATGGCTAGAACGAGATTTTGTTGAGGGCTCTTATGTTTGATATGTGGGCATTTCTGAATTGTTCGTCTCTAACACCCAGTTTCAGATAGATGTGGAAGAGAAACCAGAAAGCCACACCCTTTGGGGGGCAGCCTGCTCTTTCACCTTTGTCTTTTTGCATTTATTTAATGTATGATGTCTAGAGTTTTTATTTGGAGTTTTCAGGAACAATCAGGAAAATACATGATTTCCATCTTCATAGAAGGGGAAGTTCTATCATCTTGGATTATATTGCCTTAATATATTATACACTATGCAGTTTTTGAACACATGGGCGCTTTCAGATCACTTTGTAGAAAAATCTAGATTACTTTAAAATGAACATAACGAAAGGTGTTTTTTTCTTGATGTATCATGCTATATTCAGCATCATTTAAATTAAAAATTAATATTAATTCATTGGGTTAAATACACATTTAGAATGCTAACTTTGTTAGAAGCCTAGACTTTAGTCCAGTCTCTTTCTGGATTGTTCTGTAGCCTTGGGTATCTGAGACCTCTTGGTATCTCAGTATACCCAGCTGAATGTAAATTGTTCAATTTGTTAGGTAATCTCTTAAATTTCCTCATAGAACACTCCTCTCCACTCCTGCCAACACCAAATTCCTAAATTTTCTATAATACAGTGCTTAAAAGTTGGATAATCCAAATAAAACCCTCAAAATTAAATAAGACAAATAAGGTAGTTATAGTTTATTAAATGTTTAACTGTGTTTCAGATACTATAGCATATTTAATACGAATATTACCTAATAAGCAATCTATTGAAGTGTAAGTTACATCTCAGTTTGTAGACGAGAAAATGGATGCAGAAAGGTAAAGAGCAGTATCTAAGAATTCTTCCATTGTAAAGATATATTTGATACTAAGTCTATTTTATTCCAGAGTTAATGTATATATGTACATCATATATATACATATATGCATATATATACACATAATGTACACACATATATTTTGTAATATATATTATACATACATATATGTGAATATATTATATACACACAGATGCATATATATTATATATAACATATATAATATATATTATATAACATATATTATATATATATATATACATATATATATATACACACACACACACACACACACACACACACATAATAGCTTACATATGTATTTTTTATTATTTTGGCCACCACTCAAGAAGCAATTTTAAAGAAGTGAGATATTAACCCAAAGATAAAGTTAGAAAGCATTTTTTGTCAATGTCTCTAGTGATTTTATTTGGCTTAGATTAATTTGTAATGTAGATGCATGGCACGTATTTATGTGGCAAGACCCAAAGGGTTTATAGTTAACATAGAAGGGTGAGCATGGTAACACGTGAAGCTTGGGCTGTATCCTAATTCACTCTTCTCTCTCACAACAAAGCCCTCCCCCAACAGTCTACAAGCTTACTGTGAGATTTCGTGTGTCCATCGACACAGAAATTGATATTCTATTGTATTCTGACAAAAGTTATTCAAGTGTCACATTATGTGTTCTCAGAATTACCAAGAGAACTAGCTATGAATACAGTGGTTGCAACATAATTCCTTCACGAGGAGATAGGAAGCTAGTAATTGTCTATGCAATCTTGTTCTGAGAGGAAGGATACTTTTCTATGAAAACGATTTTCTCTTTATAAGGCTACCATCATTTTGGTACACGGAATACTGATTCATGGTCATTGTTTTTATTTTTGCCATCAGCCTACTCTGTGGAGTGTGCACTTTAGTCTAGGAAAGCAACTTTCTCTCTTTGATTCTTTTTAAACTTTGGTTGAAACTAAACAAAATGTTATGTGGTTCAAACAAAATATTATTCACGTCCAGGGCAGATTAAAATTGCCCAGTAGTGGGTGGGAAGTATGAACAGTGGGGTACAGCTATGTCCTTTGGTATTCCACTGAAAATGCATAAAGCATTTCTATTGAACAAGCACAGCACAGTGTGGAAAAATCAGCAGTGAAATATAAAGATCCCTAGATTAGGGACATAAAGCTCTACAGCACTAGCCCTGCTGTAAGCAAGCTATCTTAGTGAACTACTGTGGGTCGAAACTTCCCTCAGCTGTGCCACGAGAACACTGAACTAGGTGTCTCTCAGCTCAAATATTTAAAGGAATTCTGGACTCTATGTAAATCACAAAAATTTGGCACTGCACTCATTGTGTGCTGCAAAATAAGATGCTTACTGAAGAAAATTCTAGCACCAGGACATATCTTTTTTAAAAACCTTATAAACATTTTACAGAAATCTTATGGGTTGGAGGGTATAGCTCAGTAGTAGGGTGTTGTCTTTGTATGTGTGAGGCTCTGAGTTTGATCCCCAGCATGAGGAATAATGAAGTTTAAAGGACTTCAAAGAAAAGTGGAATATAAATGCAAAATATATAATTACCTAGTTCTAAGCAATTTCAGTGCTGCACTGCATTTCAAATAGTGCTATTTCATACATGCATTTGGTATGCATTCAGCGCCTATTATGTGAATAGGCAGCGAGTGTGAATAGAGAAATCGACAAAATGAATGTCTACTACTGTCTTCCCAAATACAAAAGGTAATTCATTCTTAAGGGTGTATTCTTCTCAAAGAATCTTATTGATTATGTGAAATACTACATTAAGGGTAGGGATGGTACTGCAAACGGGCAATTCAATACCAACTGAAATGTGGAATAGTACTCCGACTTAAAAAAAATATTTTCTTTCAGCAGAATGGCTTTGCTGCCATTGCTGTTTGTCCAACTTGAGCAGACTTTTTAGTTCATACAGTATGAAGTCTTTTCTTTCCCAAATGACCAGTATCTCCTAAATGTGCCAAGATGGTTCCATTGCCCAGAAGGAAGCTGTCATCAATGCCTGAATGTTTAGTTTTCTTGAAAGATGGGGTCAGGAGAGGCAAAGCGTATGAAGAAGATACCAAAGCAGGATTTGAGAATTTAGAACGGATTCGTGAAACGCATTATCCCTTCTAGTTTTAGACCCAACTCTCTTAGCTGTTCAACTATCAAGTCTTTGGGTTCTCTCTCATCATTCAGGCTGGTAGACTTCCCCAGCTCAACCCACAGCTGCACACAATCACCCACGACACCCCCAAACATGGAGCTTACGCACACCCACCTACTTCTCTTGACAGGGCAACCCTCATGGACCCACCCAATGGTTGACTGGCCTTCCAGGGCCATCACCATCACCCACCACAGGCACCATGTTCCAGGAACTGGCCTCTTCCCCCAGCAGTCCCCGCCCCTCATTCGGAGAGCACCCAATGGGAGGAGCCGAGGCCGCGGTAGGCGGGGACTAAGGCGGGCCCATTTAAAGAAAGGCTGAGGGCGAAAGGAGGCAAGAGAAGAGAAGAAAGAGAAGCCAGGGGAGGGGGCGGGCGCCGTCCAATGACAAAGCCCCGGGGTGGGCGCCCGCTGCCGCCGCCATCTTTAGCCCCGGCCACAGGACATCCAAAGCGTCCTCCGCCCCGAGGGGGAGGGGCGGCAAGGCGAGAAAAGTAGCGAGCGACGCCGGGCGGAAGGCGCCAGCACCAGCGAGCGCCGCTGAGCCGGGCGCGGACAGGGACGGCGGGCGGCCCCGAGCGGCCTCCGATGCGACGCGGCGTGAAGAGGCGGCGGCGCCGGCCCCGGGCCGCCTGGGGCGGCGGCTACGGAGCGGAAGGAGGGGCCGGGCTGGAGGCGCTGGAGGAGAAGGTGGTGTACTCGCGGTCGCAACTGTCGCTGGCCGGCAGCACGGAGGCGCTGGGCGACGCCTTCAAGCTCTTCATGCCCAGCAGCACGGAGTTCATGAGCTCGGAAGCGGAGCTCTGGAGCTTCCTCTGCAGCCTCAAGCACCAGTTCTCCCCGCACATCCTGCGCAGCAAGGACGTCTACGGCTACTCCTCGTGCCGGGCACTGGTGCCCGACCCCCCGGCGCCCGACAGCCGCCCCGCGCGCCGGCCGCGGCCGCGCCCGCGCGCAACGCCCAGGAGGAGGCGCCGTGGAGCTCGGGCCGCCACGGGTCCCCGCAGGCCGCGCCCCGCCGCTGCGGAGCCGGGGCCTCCGGCGTCCTGCTTCGGGGGCCGCACCCTGGAGGAGATCTGGAGGGCGGCCACCCCGACGCTGACCAGCTTCCCGACTATCCGCGTCGGCGACGACGTGTGGGGCGAGCGCAGCCTGGCGGTGGCGCGGCGCAGGGCGCGCCAAGTGCTGCGAGTGGACCTGGACCCGGTGGTGAGGCTGCGCCGCTTCCCGGTGCCCCGGGTGTGATGCGCGCTGCGGCGCCTCCTGCCGGCCGCCGCCCGAGGAAGCTTCCGCGCGCTGGAACGGACTAATGGCAGTCGAATGTTTACAGAACCGGCCCCCTTTGGTGCACTTTATGCGCGAACAAGGCCCCTGGATGCGGTGCGGCGCCGCGGTCCGGGATCGGGACAGGTGCGGCCCCCACGCCTGCGGCCAGACGGGACGGCCGGACCCGCGACAGAAGTCCCTTTGCTTCCCAACCCGGATGGAGACGTCTCCAGAACCTGGAGGGACACGTGCATTTTCTCCCTCTCGGACTCTACCTCACCGGTCTGGAAGTCCTCCGAAGACTTTTACAAATTTTTTTCTCCAAAGGAATTTGTTTTTGTGCTTGTGTAATAAAGCCAGAAATTTACTTGCACCCTAGTCCCCTTCTGTTTCTGTTTGACTGTCAGCCCCACTTTCTGGACAGAAGATCGACTATGTTTCCTGGTGAAGTGCTGGTGTACGCTCAGGGTATTCTGAAGCCCACTCGTTTTCTAATTTTTATTGGATTCCAAAGCTTTGATCAAGGTCGTGTTTTAAGAGTTTCAAGCTTATGACTGTTAATGTAAGGATTTGTATGGCTTTGAATTTCATGAGCTCAGTGATTACCAAGAGATGCAAAGTACAACTTAAAAAAAAAGGTTACGGTGTTTATATATAAAGTTTTATATTGAAATGTAATATTTATATTTACTGAGCTCCTAAGTAAAATGGTAGAATCTCCTTTAAAAGTTTTGTTTAAGAAAAGTTGACTTACTTTAATTGAATAAAATTGAAGTGTTTTGAACCACATGGCTTGTGATAAAAATTGAATAAATTTTGAAGAATATGTTGGCTACAAGAATGAGTGGAATCCAGTTGGAGGTGATTTGGCCTCACGTCCTGGTCTAACATAAAATTCAAGATTGTTAATGGGAAGAGAATTAAGATGGAAATTGCTTAGGAGAGATCAATACGTGTGGTCATTGTGAATAAACAGAATACCCTTTAGAATTCCCAGAACTGTATGATCTATAGGGAGGGGCAGGGGCATTTCTTGGTACCATATTGTTTGGCAGAAAAGTAAATCATAATTCTTTGTTGTTGAATAACAAGAAATGCCTAAACCAATACTCCTTGTATTTCTGAAAACCATGACAATTGGTTGACGTTTTTGTCCTATGAGTTTTCGTTTTCTCTTCTTCCCATTCATAATTGTGTTTGCAATCTTCGATAGCTGAAGGCCACAGGAATCAAAACATCGAGCCGCACAGTACTGACCCTTCTTATACACTTTTATAATAGCATGTATAACATATGGCCCAGAGTAGAGTTCTTGATAATCCAAGTGCCTTTGGTCATTGGTGGCAGCAAGACTTGGTGGTTTTTTTTTAGCCAGTGGTGCCACAGCCAGCTTTTTCTGCAATACCTAAAGGGTCAAATAGTGTTTTTCTACCGCTGTTATTTCAGACTTAAGTATTCTGCCGTGGGACATTCATACAGGGCTGGAACTTATTAAGCCCTCAACGCTAAGGTTTATCTCTGCTTGGCAGTTTCTTAGAATAATGAGAATTGCAGTTTTGACTCTTGTGTTCCTAATTCAATGGCATAGCTTTCTGAATTAAGTATTTTAAGTTTTTAATAGTTCATGAAAAGAGTTGTGACTTTTAGTGTTTTTGTTTTGTAAACACACACACACACGCACATATATACATATATACATACATATATGACTTTATGCCAGTTTCCCACAAGCCTCAGTCTTTTATTCCCCACTCAATGATAATACATTGTTACAAATACTGTTACTTGAGTACATGAAAAGGGGGTCACCATGGGAGGGAGAGTGATAGAGTTGTGTCATGGGAAGCTGAGACAGTCTTGGTTATTAGCTTCCATTGCCAAATGTATTTCAGAGACAGGCTTTTCTTCCCAAAAGATAGATTGTTAACTTTTCATAGCTAAGTAGCACCTGATGAAAATGCATTTGTACCACTCCATGTGTATATAGTTTTATAACAAGAAATAAATCCAATGGCCATATTAGAATGTAATCTCAACATGAGATTTATCTAGATACTTCCCAGAGGATTCTGAAATTAGACATGGCTGAGGGTAAAAATTTACCTCAGCCCACAATGGACAGGTAACCAGTTACACCATGCATTTATTTTTACTGAGATATTTTGACATTTGTTTCTCTCATGCCTTGGTACTTTAGTGCAGTTGACGATATGCATAAATGCTTCTTTGGCTTATTGATCTGACTGACTAAAGTTTGGATTTGGTTTCCCATGCTGGGTTTGATACGGCTCAAAAATATAACCTTTATTTTGCCAAGTTTTTCTGCAGCAAAACCTGTGTTGCCACTTTGAACACATGAAGACATATCTAATGTAGCTGATGAGTCTATTATAAGAAAGTGGAATTTTTCCTGGATACCTTTGGACAGGATGTGGAGAGAAACTTGACATTGTGGCCTTTAAGATGAAGCATCTGGATTTTGTACTAGAAAGATGCTGTAGCTTCTTTTGTGGGTAGTTTTTCAAGATGTCCCATTTGTCATTTTGCCCTCTCTCATCTCTCATGGCACAAGTAGAGAGGCCACCTGGGAGGGAATGCATCACCTCACTCTGCTTTTATTTAGTTCTTGACTTTTGAGTTCCTACTTGTGGTGACTGGCACCTCAAGGTAACCTTGTTAGACATCCTCCCCCACCCACCCCCCCATCACCCAGCAACTTACTTTTACTTTACTAAGCCAATGACCTGGAGATAGCTGAGGCAAGCTTCCTTTGTTTGATAGTGCAGTGTTGCTGTTGTGGTGCCTATTTATTTTGTCTGTTCCAGTATTCTATGGACAAGTGTAACTTAAGCTGGTAGCTCATACCTATTGATTTGCCATGTGTACATAATACTACTATTTTTCAAAAAACTTTATAAAAAAAACTTTTACGATATTTGAATACAAAAAAAATCACAATTTTGAACTTAAAGATTTTTTGTTGTTTTAAGGGTTGTTATGGTATTCTTTAAGTCGTTGATTTTTAATGAACATACATAACATTTGCTTTTTTGGTGTGTTCAGATATTTTTTGATAAACTGTTGTCTTAAGTGCATTAGAACACAATTGTTTGTAATGGAACTGAAGTATTTCCCTGGACAGTTTAATGTGCATATGAATGGGATTTACAATTTGGTTGTGTGTTGCTTTTTAACTTATTAACTGTAAATAAATTTTAAGCATATAGTGTCTGGCTTTTCTAATGATACTGAAAGTTTTCAAAATGAGACTGTGCATGTGAATCAGAAACCATCTTAATTTAAAATTGGATAAACCTTGACATTTTGCAAACTTGAGCTGGAAGTCTCAAGGTTTGTGTTGGTTGTGTTCTGTCTTGTGACTTGTCAGTTCCTTAGTTTCTAGAATGGCTCTTCAAACCAAACCCAGTTTGCCTGCAATAACCTTTAAAGGGTACATTCAAGTTCGAGCTTCTGAGTCCTGGCCCCTAAATATCATTGGGGTGATAAACGGTCTAATTTCTCTTTCCTTCATATTGTGAAAGAAAGTGCCCCACGGATGGCAGCGATGCAGACTTTTGGCAGACAAGGGCAGGGGAGACTTCTCATTGCAGTCTATAGAACTGGAATGGAGTATCAGCAATCTGCAGCAAGGACAGATTCACATTCTGGGTGGACTGCATTACGTCATACCCAAATGCCTATCAGTAGGTGGAGGGATCAAAGGGAACAGCCTGGGAGAGAATTACCGTATCCAGTTTCCTGTCCTTAAGCACTGGGACTCTAGGTAAATAAGCTTTGTGCCATGACATCCTCCAAAATCAGATGCACTCCATAAGCTGGTGGAATACTGTACACATCGAAAAGGACGTTAACGCTGGAGTCGTGGGACGTGCGGAATAAATGTTATTAATTGGAAGTCTGAAGGCTGGATATAGTATAGAGGAATGAGAATTTATCTCTCCAGTTGGTTTGGCATGGCCACCAAAAGCAGATTATGGGCTAGAAAGTTAAAATTAATTAATGGGAGAAATAAAAATGACATAAACTTACCCTTTTACACTTCTTGGAAGTATTAGGGCAGGACTTGGGTTTGTTGGAGACTTCAAAATGTTAGAAGCTATGTTTTGAAGTTGCATCTTTGACAATATCTCTGAAAGATTTAAAACGTGCCATTTTGTATTTTAAAGGATCTGAGAATTTACAAACGGTAAATTAAAGTGATCCAAAACCTGTAAAAGTTTTGCATTCAATCTTCACTGGGGGTCATTTCAGCAGGTTGCTCTAGACTTTAGAGTTCTCAACTTACTTAATGCCATGACCCTTTTAACAGTCCTTTATGTTGTGGTGACCCCCAACCATAAAATCATTTAAGTTGCTACTTCATAACTAATTTTGCTACTATTGTGAATTATAATGTACATACCTGATATGCAGGGTGTCTGACAGGTGACCCCTGTAAGAGGGTTATTCAACTTCCAGATTGGTTGAGATCCAAACATTGAGGACTGCTGCTTTAAAGCATTTTCACCCGTGGCCATAGAATCAGAATGAAGTTAGTTTCTGTGGAGTCTGTGCAAAAATATGATCATATTTGAAGCATTGGCACCCTGAGCTTTAGATGTTGGGTATAAAGACAGTGAATTGGCTCTGATTCCTCTGTTGGTAACACAAAGAATTCCTGAGTTGGTAAACAAAAACTGTAGTATCTAAAGCCAACACAAAAGTATTTCTTAGAAAAGTGCATGGAAGCATGCTAGATCTGAAAACAACGTGGGAGCAGATGTCACAGAAGCTGACTGTCCGCCATCACTGCTCCTGTGTGTCTTGGTAAATGCTCTGAGCCGTGGTTACAATAACATAGCAGCCATGGGGTTTGAGGCTGGTGAGTATAATGACTCAAATTATGATTACCCAGCAAAGTTGGATAAATACATCACTAGATAAATATGTTTCCTTCTGAAAGTGTTCGTAGAGAAGGT